TGCAGGTACCCTTCCTAGTGATACAGAGACCCTAAGGCCTATAATGAAGGAACATGTGAAAGTAGTGACTTTAAGGAGTGGAAAGGAATTGATAGAAAGTGAACCTTTGAAAAAGATTGTTGAGTCATCCAAATCACCAACTGAAAATGATGTCACAACACCCACTCTAGATGTTGTTACACCTATTTTGAAAAATAAGGGAAAATCAATAGACATAGGGATACTCCCTAAGAAAGTTGACTTCCCCTTAATATTTCCAAATGAGGGCAAAAAGGTGTCATTTCAGGATGAAACTTCAACATCTTTCACCAACACTGACAATCCTGACACATCACTTGTCACTCCTATAGTCAAACCAACCAACCATAAAGGTTGAGAAATCAAAAGAGGAGCTACAATTCAAAAAGTTCCTTGATGTGTTCAAACAGTTACATATCAATATTTCGTTGGTTGAAGCTATTGAACAAATGCCAAGTTATGCAAAATTTCTCAAGGACATTTTAAGCAAGAAAAAGAAGTTGAGTGAATATGAAATTGTTGCCTTAACAGAAGGTTGTAGTGCCCTCCTTTCAAACAAACTTCCCCATAAGCTCAAAGATCCAGGGAGTTTTACTATTCCCTATTTAATAGGTGGGAAAGAGATAGGAAAGGCCTTGTGTGATTTAGGAGCTAGCATTAACCTCATGCCATTGTCTGTTTTCAACACTTTAGGCATTGGAGAAGCTAGACCAACCACAATCATCCTTCAGTTAGCTGACAAGTCCATAGCTCACCCGAAAGGGAAAATTGAGGATGTGTTAGTCCAGGTGCATAAATTCATTTTTCCTGCTGACTTCATTATTCTTGATTTTGAGGCTGATAAAGACATTTCAATCATCTTAGGAAGACCATTTTTGGCTACCGAAAGAACTCTGATAGATGTGCAAAAAGGTGAGTTGACTATGAGAGTGAATGAGTAAAATGTCACTTTTAATATGTTTAGTTCTATGAGATATCCTGAAGAAAGAGAGGAGTGTCTACATTGAGCATTCTTGAGTCTTTGTGCCAAAGAGAGGGGATTGAAACAATGTTAGACTTAAGATAGACTAAAGTTGATGAGGACATAGAATTTATTGAAGAGAGTGAGATAGACATGTTGCAGCATGCTGCAGCCTTTGAACTATTGGAAAGTGAAGATAAGAGGACCCACACCACATCTATCGAGTCATCACCTGACCTGGAGTTAAAACAACTCCCATCACATCTGAAGTATGCATTTCTAGGAGAAGGCAAATTGCCTATTCTTATTTCATCTACCATAGAAAAAACATCAGAAAGAAAAACATGTTAGTATGTTAAAGTTGCACTCCAATGCTATAGGATGGACTATTTCTGACCTTAAGGGTATCAGTCCTTCCATTTGTTAGCATAAGATCATTTTAGATGACCAAAAGTTCACTTTCATAGAACCCCAAAGAAGGTTAAATCCTATCATGAAGGAAGTTGTGAAAAAGGAGATTTTAAAATGGTTAGATGTTGGGATAATATACCCTATTGCAAGTAGCTCATGAGTAAGCCCTGTATAGTGTGTCCCTAAAAAGGGAGATGTCACTGTAGTCTCAAATGAGAATGATGAGCTCATTCCCACTAGAGTAATGTCTGGATGGAGGATTTGTATGGACTACTGTAGATTGAATAAGGCTACCCAGAAAGACCATTTTCCTTTACCTTTCATAGATCAAATGTTAGACAGACTTGTAGGAAAGGAGTTCTATTGTTTCTTAGATGGCTACTCAGGTTACAATCAGATTGCAATAGCACCAGAGGACCAAGAAAAGACCACTTTTACATGTCCTTATGGTACCTTCGCTTTTAGAAAAATGTCATTTGGTCTTTGTAATACAGCTGCTACTTTTCAAAGATGTATGATGTCCATATTTTCTAACATGCTTGAAAATTCTATGGAAATCTTTATGGATGATTTTTCTGTTTATGGTACATCATATGATGAATGTTTACAAAATCTTGAAAAGAGTCTTCAAAGGTGTAAAGCAACTGATTTAATTTTAAACTGGAAAAAGTGTCATTTCATGGTAATAGAAGGTATTGTTCTTGGTCACTTAATTTCAAAAAGAAGAGTTAAGGTTGATAAAGCTAAACTTGAGGTGATTGAAAAATTACCTGAACCAACCACTATCAAAGGTATCAAAAGTTTTCTCGAACATGCAGGTTTTTACAGAAGATTTTTCAAAGATCTCAAAACCTCTGTGTTTATTACTTCAGATTGACCAAAAGTTTGATTTTAATAAAGAATGCAGAAATGCATTCCAAGCTTTGAGAAAAACTTTAGTTATTGCACCTGTGATTGTTACTCCTGACTGTGAAAAACCTTTTGAAATCATGTGTGATGCAAGTGATTGGGCTGTAGGAGCTTTCCTAGGCCAAAGAAAAGAAAAAGTGTTTCATTCCATCTACTATGCAAGTAAAACCTTGAATGAAGCTCAAATTAATTATACAACAACTGAGAGAGAATTATTAGTAGTGGTTTTTGCTTTTGAGATATTTAGATCGTATTTAATGGGAACAAAGGTCATTGTTCACACTGATCATGCTTCCATTAAATACTTAATCTCAAAGAAATTTGCTAAACCAAGGTTAATAAGATGGGTTTTATTGTTACAGGAATTTGATCTTGAGATTGTAGACATGAAAGGAGTGGATAATCAGGTGCTGATCATTTGTCTAGACTTGAGAAAAATGATAAAGAAATGGTAAAGAGTGACATAACAGAAACATTCCCTGATGAGAAACTTTTGGTGTTACAACACACTACAACATCATGATTTGCTGACATTGCCAATTTTCTGGCATGTGGAATTATTCAACCTGAGTTCACTAAGAATCAAATTCAAAAACTCAGACAAGACTCTAAATTCTATTTATGGGATGATCCATTTCTATTTAAATCATGTACAAATCAGGTGTTAAGGAGATGTATTCCAGAAACTGAAGTGTCAGCTGTACTACAACATTGTCATGCATCCGAGTATGGAGGACATTTTAGAGGACGAAGAACAACTGCAAAAGTGTTACAATCAAGATTCTATTGGCCAACATTGTTCAAAGATGCTCAAGAGTATGCAAGAAGGTGTGATAAATGCCAGAGGACAGGTTCTATCTCCCAAAAGCATGAAATGCCTTTAAATGACATTCTTGAGGTTGAGTTATTTGATGTTTAGGGGATTGATTCTATGGGACCTTTTCCAATTTCGGGTAACTGCTAGTACATTTTAGTAGCAGTGGATTATGTATTCAAATAGGTTGAAGCAATGACATGTCATTCGAACGATGCAAAAACGGTCGTTAAATTTCTCCAAAAGCAAATTTTTACAAGATTTGGTACCCCTCGTGCTTTGATAAGTGATGAGGGTACCCATTTTATAAATAATTTACTAAAAATCATTTTGGAGAAATATAACATCAAACACCGAGTTGCCACTGCATATCATCCCCAAACAAATGGACTCGCAGAATTATCCAACAGCGAAATTAAAGGAATTTTGGAAAAAGTGGTTAAGCCTTATAGGAAAGATTGGGCTGTTAAGCTAGACAACGCTTTATGGACATATTGTACCGCTTTTAAAACACCCATTGGAATGTCTCCATACAGGTTGGTATTTGATAAAGCTTGTCATCTGCTCTTGAACTTGAACATAAAGCTTACTGGGCCATAAAAGAATTAAACATGAACATTTGTGAAGCTGGAATCAAAAGAAAATTTCAATTTTGTGAATTAGAAGAACATAGGAATTTTTTCTATGAAAATGTGTGATTCCCAATTATCATACAAATCAGATTAATCCTTCAAGAACACAAATTGAGAGTAGAGAGAGATTTTCACCAATCTTAAGAATGATATTTCTTGAGAGAAAATTACAAAGTGATTAGTAAACTAATTACAATTAACCAGCTAAAAACTATTTATACTAGAAAATTAACAAGGCTAACTACTACAAAGACAATTACAATGGGAGAACTTGAATATAATCTTTTAAGCACAAACTTGAACCCAACAATCTCCCCCTTTGGATTCAAGTACGAGACATTGTAAATCTTGATTTTCTAAGCCCAAGTAGTGTCACTAGCCTCCTTAACGCACTCCAGTATTGCAACTTATCATCAAGTAGGTTCAGAGAATTGATCAATAGATACCTCTCCTTCGGACTCATTCTCTCTAATTCCGCAGCTTTATCGTTTTCAGCTTTGATCGACTCAAGCACCCGACGCACCATCCTTATAGTGCCATCATAGTACTTATTCAGCTCATTGAATCTCATAAACTTCTTTATCCGACCTTCAGCACTATACAACACACCAAACTCCGGTTCTTCAAGAATGATATACAGAAGATAACCTTCAATATCTTCAAGTTCTTGGTCTGGTCTTTTCAGATTAATGATCTTATGATTGTCTTCAAGACCCATTTGAATATCCAGAACCATTGATACTTTGACATGACTCCTCATATACCTCTTGATAGCATTAAGAGCAACAATTGTTCCTTCTCTTCTGACAGTCATATTTCGTAGTTCGTGATACATGTGCTCCAAGTCTTCTAAATACAGATTAGAGAAATCAACTTCACTGAATACCCAAACCATTCCATCTTGTCCTGTAACAGTGAACACAGGATACCAAACTCTAAGGAGTTTATTGGCATCAATTTTTTTGATGGAGACAACGCGATGTCTGGTTCGTACTTGGCTAATTGGGAGGCGCTTCGCTTTAAGAAAATGCTTATACTCCAAGCGATAATCTTGGGTTTCTTTGTGAATCCAAAAATTTTATCTACGCTCAGAGCTTTCTGATACCGAAGAAAGATGCCGAAGTAGATGTCTTCCAGGTAAGGCTCTCTGATCCTTGCTCTGTCGTAACCTGGAACATTAGCACGTATTGCAAACGGTACGTAATTTTTAGAAAATATCTCTGTAGGATCATACGCCGTTCTCAGAGTTTCTAAAGCATTATGACCAACTGCGGTGGAAGGTTCAGAAGGAGTCTGATGATCATCCTGGAATGGAAAGATTGATTCTTCTTCATTGATATCGGCTTCAAAGTCAAAGTATATTTCTATGACTCATCAATATTGTCGATGTATTCACCAAAGTCCTGATCTCCACCCAGTACTTTAGAAAACGCTTCATTAAAGCCCACGTTGGCAGACAAATCTAGAAGCAACCTTGTCTCTATAGTGGAGTTCGTCGGCTTTTCAACCATTGGCTCGATCATTGGATTTGTCTCCAAGGCTATATCATCTTCAACTATTATCGGGCCTGTAGTCCTTTCCCTTGATCTTTGTGGAACAGAACTTTCAACATTAACAGCTCCAGAATCTGGCTCCCTTTCAACACTTTTAACACGAACAGACGACTCAGCCAGCCTCTGTCTCTTTCTCTCCCCTTCATGATGATCAAGATCGTCTGGATCATCATGTCTTCTTTTAAATAAGGTGGCTTGAGCTCGGCACGTATCTTCTAAGATTGATACCCTTTCGGATAGGGCATCAATGGAACTCTTCAAGGCTTGAGTTTTTGATGTAATTAGCTTGCTAACTTTTGAGAAATTAGAAGCAATTACATCTTGAAAGGCCAAAAACTCTGAGGCTCGAACATTTGGGTTATCATCTACAAGTTGTCGAATGAGCCCAACCAAGTTTGCATCAGCCGCATCTGGATTTTGAGTAGACATTAGCTTTGCGTACAACAACAATTTAAGCTCATCCACCGATTGTTCTTGTACCCTCGGAGGCTCAGGCACAGGCGATGGTGACGGCACAGATGGTTGTTCATCAACTACCGGCTCCTTTCCCTTCATCATCCTTTTGAGACTTATAATTTGTGCTTCCATGTGATCTTGAACAGCCTTTAGGGCGCCGTCTAGATACTCCCTTGACACAAAGTCGGGTAAAGTCACACCTGGA